TGTTTGAATTTTTGGTTCAAGACTTGCATGATCAATATTTGCTTGAATTTCTTGTCCTAGACTTGGATGGTCAAAGTCTGTTACAGAGATGTTATCAAATCTGTAACTTGATGAATTATGTTCATTTTGCAATGCTTTCAAGTAGAAAGCTCGTTCAGTATCCTGTATTTTTTTTTAATGGTTGCTTCGAAATTTGTCTTTGAACCCTGTATTAATTTTAAATTGTATTAATATTATTCTAATAAAATATGTACTGAATGACAAAATGTTTGAGACAAGTTAGATCTCTTACAAATTTGGTTTCCTCCATCAAAGACTCTGAAGTTGTAAATAATAGTTTCTCAGCTGGTTCATCAATTGCATTTGCATTGATTGATCCCGTGACATCTGAAAGCTACACATATGCTCTAGCCCTAAAGTGAAAAATAAATTAGTATTAATAGATACAAGAGTAATAAGGAGAAGTAGAAAGGTGTAAAAAATGAAAAGTAATTAATCGTTAGTGTTTTTTATCGAGGAATAGTTTTGGAATTCGGATTTTTGCAAAAAATACAAAGATATGTTTCTCCAAAATCAATGTTCGACCGTCTAAAACAGTTGTTGCAGGCCATGTACCAGGATTTGCTATCAATTTTATCTGTTGTTGCTGTGCTGTTTACCCAATAAAACTTTCGCTGTTACAATATAGAGATACTTAGAGAAATTACAAGGAAAAATAAATAATATAATTGAGTGTATCTTGTAATATATATCTCTATATTAGGAAATAAATAGAGATTGAATAGTATACGTAACCTTAATATTACCGCTAGAAGGCGTCCCTGAAGATTTTGAATAGGAGTGAATTTACTTCGTACAGGTGGAGAAAGATTCGTGGGGCTTTTGTCCATGTGTGATTTTTTGAACACAAAATCATTTATTTTAATGGAATTTGTTCTTACCCTAATCAAAAGACATGAAAATAATTAGTAACTCCAATAAAAATGTGTGGAAAAATAATTGAGAGGGAGGAAAAAAAGAATAATAAAATATAGCACTTTGTACATACCATTCTGTCATTTGTTTTACTGCATTAAAAGGCGTATTTATGAAAAAAGTGGAACGGACTTTCATGGATAATTTTAAACCTATATAATATCAATATGGAGAATGTGTAAATGATGTAACACACACACACACGCATATACATATATACCTTAAGAGAAGTTTAAATAATACAATAGAACATACCAAGGAACGATGTAACTTTTAGACGAGTTGCGAAGATGACTGGCTTTTTGTCAATAATGTCTGCTATCAGTAAGCATTCTCTGTTAACAAATGAATCCCAAAGTGTAAGCACCATTGTTTTGAAATTCATGTCTAGAAGTATGATATCTTACAACCAAGTTTGGTTGCCATCTTTGGATTGAATCAATCGTTTGGGTGTCATATCAACTGCAACTGCAAATATATCTGCAAATTTGAAATAAGCCATCAAATTTTCTTTTTTTTTGGACATAAGCAGTACGAAATTGAAGAAAACTATATTTCTATAGAATTAGTATATGATTATTTAATATCTATGAAATTTTGTCTTACTTAAATCGGCATCTGTATCCATGTATTGTTCGAGTTCATGAAGTCGTGTCAGTTGATATGTTGAGAATACAAACTCTATATTATCTTCATTCAATTTTTTAATATGAGTTTCTCCAGATATTGTCCATTGTAGAGAGCTAGTCGAATATCTGTAGTTTGTGGTATTGTTCTTCACGTAAGCTTTCGAAATAGTATAAGTTTTTCTCAAAACAAGTTGATCCTCACAAGCAGTGATATTGGAATCATATAAGCTTGCCTGAATAGTATTACCCTGAAAAATCATGAGGAACCATATAAATAACTGTAATATACGTGATCTTAGATTAAGAAAAAACACAAAACAAAAAACAAAAAGAAATGAAGAAAAAATGTACGAAGAAAAGTTACATGAGTATCCATTAACATCAAGTGTTGGTACCTTCCATTGCCTTGTCTCGAAAGCTTTGGTGATTGTTTTTCAACTACAATCACTTTAACTTTCCACTTTTGATTGTTGGAAATAATTTTTGGTAGAAGTTGGTATTGTTCTTCCATAGCGGCAATTTCGTGACAATTTTGTAACAGAATAATAGAGGCAAAATACACACAAAAGGAAGATTTCTATGGCAAACGATTTTGAGATATCCAATTGACAAATAAAAGAAGATATATATAGACATGTAAAATTATATCATATTTGGTTTCCCGTATTTTATCTTCTATTCTTGATTTTATTTTTTTATAAAAAGTAATACAAGTATGTACTAAGTAATATCTTATTATTAACCATATACTGTCATAAGTTTTGTTTGCTTGAGATATGTAGATTACTTGTAAAATTCATTTATTGATAGTACACAAATAAAACACGAGTTCAAGGATTTACACTTAGAGCATATGTAAAACTACAATTTATTGGTTCTTCCTATTATAAATATAATAAAAGGACGTCAAAATTTGGATTAAAAAAGGAAAAAGATCAAGATTTACACAGTAAAATCTTATCATACCCATACTCTATTGATTTATTTGAATTAAAAAAGGAAAAAGATAAAGATTTACATGGTAAAATCTTATGATACCCATACTCTATTGATTTATAATGACTGAACATAGACATTGGCTAGCAAAGGTTTAAACATGGTACAAGAATGACTCTGAATTAAATTAAGTTGTATTCACTGGGGAAAAAGTATTCATGCTACAAACCTTCATTGTGATGGAAGAAAATTTTGATTCAGTTATTTATTTAGCTTAAATAAATTGAATTGTAATAAATATCTAATCACATGTAAATATGTTGATGTATGATTTTGTGTATGAAATTAAACAATTCAAACAAAGACGTATATTTGAGATTTTATAAAAGGTGTGAATAGTTTTGTATTTCATAACACAATAAAAATACTTCATTGATTGTTGACCAAATGCATAAAACAACAACAACATACAGCTCATATGTGACAGCCTTTTATCTTGTGGTTGGTCTATGCTCATTTATTATACTTTTAGTCCCAAAAAATCTACATTTTCAAGAGAGAAACTCCCAGCAAATTTAAACTGGAAAAGCTCTGAAATTGGCCGAAAAAGGTAACAATATTACTTAAAAATTTACAATCGAAGAAACTTGTATATATCTGCACAGATCTACGTATGGTGCCATAAGAACTCCATGATTATGGAGACCCATGCTTTAATGGGCATCTATTATTACGGAGGCCATAACAAGGCCTTCGTATGATGGAGGCCTCCATGGTACGGAGGCCAACGTTGGCCTTCGTATGATGGAGGCCTCCGTAATCACGGAGGCCTTGTTGAGGCCTCCATGATACGGAGGCCAACGTTGGCCTCTGCAAATACGGAGGCAAGCCTCTGGATTACGGAGGCCAGCCTGGCCTCCGTAATCCGGAGGCTTGGTTTCTTGTGTAGGCAACAGATTTTCAGTATGGATATAGGTGCTAAAAATGCTGGAAAAACAATATGAAAGTGACAAAAAAATCCAAAGTATACCAAATGTAGTGAGGATTCATATAGAAGATTTGATGGTTCTATCATGTTTACTTGAGTCAATTGTTTGAACCCAAAGGGTAGAATTTTTCATTGTTAACAAAAGATGTTCACATTAATTTCTTAGACACCATGTACATAATATCATAAATGTTTGAATTTTTGTCACTTTCATAATGTTTTTCAGCATTTTTAGCACATATATCCATACTGAAAATCTTGGCCTCCATAATCACGAAGGTTTTAGATTCATTCATAAATGTTTCTCTATTTTTAATTTTTAGATTCATTCATAAATAAGATGTGATTTTTGGAATAATTTATGCAGATGTCTCTAGAATACATAATTTCTCCGGATCAATGGTTTTCTGCTATAATTATCCAGTATCCAAATTTCGAATATCTTAAAGACTTTATAAAATTTTTAGATTCGAATGAGCAATTTTCGTCGATATGTAGTAATTTTTATGATTTTCTTTATGGAGCTTTCTAGAAAGGAAAAAATGTACAATTTAGTAGTAGGTTGGTGCATGAATTTATATTGAGGCTTGTGAATTATGGGAAAAATGATGAAATTTGG